GAAAACTTAGTGTTGTATTTTTAATCCTTAGTTATAAACACAAAAAATTTTATGATTTTTCAACATAAAAATTACTTACAAATTTTTGCGTTTTCGACAGATTTCGTAAAAATTTGAACTATAAACGCTTATAAAAAAAAATTGTGACTAACGATTTATAATTTTTTTTAGCTACAATAAGAACAACTCATAAGGAACCTTGTATTAAATTTTCGAGTTTTTTTGGCCATCCGGCATTTTTTTACTGACACTTCAAAAAAAAATTCTCATAAAAATCGAAAATTTCAGTGGTTTATAAATAACTCAAAAAAAGTCAAAAATTTTTGAAAATTAAACTGTATATAGATATCATTAACATTAACATTTGGTGAAAATTTCAAGTATTTACAGTGATTAGTTTTTGAATTACAACCATATAAAAAACGGACTGCCGCGATAAAGCTATTGCATCTAAACAAATAAGAAGTAAAAATAAAATTTTGAGTCATATATTATAATTTTGGTTTTTAAAACACAAAATTAAATTACATTTGTTTTTGGGCTAATTCATCAACATTCGTTGACTGAACTCTTCTTGACGATTAGTATCTGATTTTGGATCTAGGTATTCTATTTTCTTCAAATCTTTTTGACGCTGACGATATGCCCTCATTATCTCACAGTTTCTTTTCCTCTTTTCTTCACTGCAATAAAAAAAAAAAAAAATTAAAAGAAAAAAATATTGAGTCATATATTATAATTTCAATCTCTAAATATATTATTTTGTTATTATAATTTCGGTAGCCAAAACCACGAATGTCTTACACCGAAAGCACCAGGAAATACACGAATTCGAATAGTTGTACAGTAAATMATTCGAAAATACTAGAATTYGATACATTCAATACAACAGTACAATAATAAACTTATACGAATAAAATTAATCGTTTGCGTTTTCGCGTAACACGACTGACACGAGTATATTGATTTTATTGTTTTGGGAYTTTTGGTGTGAAATAATTTACGGACTTAATTAGTAAAAAGGCTTGTCGTGGAAAGACGGGTAAAAAAAACAAATCAGKTATTGTAGCACCGAATACTGATAATCGAATGTTCGGATATTCATATATTTATTTAATTAAAACGTACACCGTACTCGTGCTTATTATAATGTCATAAAATTATAGTGGTATTAATTATACTCATATTTAAAATAATATATATGTATAATGTATATATGTATTTTTATAAAATAATCACTCATTTTCTTGCACTGTTTCTTCACCAGATGCACTTCCTTCACTTTCYATTTTTTTTTATATTATATTAAATTATAACAACACTTCGAGCATTACCCTGGCGTGCACACTGCACACGTTTTTTATAGCAACTGTACATCGTCGCTGAAACTGCAACACCGCATAATATCTCAACATTTGACAAAATGAGTTTGTTTTGTTGGTAGATAAGTGAATAATAATAAATAAAAATAAAAAAAACGATAACGCAGCATGTCTCATACACTGTGTAATTTTATCATATCGAGATATATAAATATATAAATGTATATTATATATGAACTGTATAATTATAGGTACATTACTACATATACCTTGCAAATATATCTGCAAACAATAGCCGCCGACAGCCGACCTTCGACCGCAGATAGCACGGTATGACAATACGGTTCGCCGCGCGGTTGACAGTGAGGGGGATTACGGGATTCCACAGGTAGTGGTCACGCTTTTTCGTTACAAAAAAAATTTTTTCAGTCACCACACCAGGACTGCGATAAAAGCTATGCAATAGCTTAAAAAATCGATTTGTTCGAAAACTAGTTTTGCGTAAAAATTCCCGTTTTTCTGTCATTTTTTTTTTG